ACACACACACACACACACACACACACACACACACACACACACACACAGAGGAAAAACAAGATTGTGTATGATTTTGGGTATGCCCAACTATCAGGGGGTTCTCCTAACTATCCAATTTCAGATGCAATGGTGTTTCCCCTTTACCTATCCTAAACTACATGACTCAGGTGATCTTTAAGTCTTTTAACCAGTGGTCAGGTGAAGTGTACAAGGGCAAGGGTTTAGATCTACCACTGGATCATCAGTACCCAGTATAATACTCTACTTGGAACCTCACAGGTGCTCATCATATGTTGAATGATTGAATAAATGAAATGGGTTTTTTCAATGCAATGTTTTTTTAATGGCCTATATATGATATATTGAAAATTTATTAAATTTACATGAAATTTCCATAAAATATGCATTCCTATTAGAGGCGACTACAGTTTTAGCATAATTTAAACTTTGACATTACAATATTTGTTATGACATAAACACAATGTTCCTGAAAATTCTGTTGGTTTTTAAATAATTTCATGTATAACATGAAGTTGTGAATTAAGAATACATAATGTTTCTTGAGGGTTTTTTTTTTTTTAATTTATGTTTCTGCTTAACTTAAAAATAAAAGTTATCGAGGTGAAAGAGATTATTGGAACATTAATGGAAATGCTACACTTCACATTATTTAAATAACATTTTATAAATTATAAATAAGTAATATAGGTTAGAATACATTCTACATGGATGATTAAAATGCTGGAACAAGTTTAAGTAGAACATAAGGAAAAGAATTTAAACTCCCCATATGTCACTTACTAATAACATTAAATTGCCAGAAATATCAGATATTTGTCTAAGAGGCACAAATGAAATAATAAGATATTTAGTATGTTATAAAAAACCTATTTGTAGATTATATAAATTCCTTCATTTTCATTCTTGTCTTTTTTTGTCATTTTATGATTTTCAAAAGCAGAACAATGGAATATAAATGTAATTCAAATTAGTAAGATTTGCTTTTATTAACATCTCTAAATCCTAGATTGGGAAGAAGTTAAAACAACAGATATAAATTAAATTTTTTAAATCCACATAATTACTTTTCCAAATTAGTATGTATAATAGACTATAAGACTCACAATTAAACACAGACAATATACTCCCATGTAAATTAAAAATACGCCTTATATCTGGAATATTCCATTCCACTTTAGTTAAAACATTACAAATAAGGCATAACAAAGCCTAAAAATGATTTAGAGGTCACAAAAAAATGATAAAACAGAAAAGAACTTCTAAAATGTATGAATATGAACTCTGAGGATAAAATTGGTTATAAAAACACAAAATATAATCTGATGTTAAAGAGAGGTAAATATAAAGACATAAATCAATGTCAGTTGTAGAAATAAATAGCCTTACAAAATACCTGTATATACTTAAATACGTTAAATTATATAAGCAGTAATATTTTCCTTATTAAGTATAGAGAGTTTGATGAGATTAACTGTCATATTTATATAGAAGTATAATTAAGATAGTGAATTATAAACTTCTGAGATAATTAAGATTCAAGATGATGTCAAACAAGTATAAGTATATTAAGTACATAAATATATTATAAATTAAAATGCTAGTATAGAGAAAGTGGCAGAGCAGACACACTAACAAAAATAAGCATTTAATTGGCATATTTCTGATATTCTTACCTTTAAAATCTGAAAAACTGATTGTTTAAACAGTAGGTATAGAAATGTGTAAATCAATGCATTTAATCAGAGAAATGTTGGTGTCCCAAAGATTGACTGTGTAGGTATATATATTCTACGTATGTACGTGTATATATACCATACATACATACACACACACACAAGCGGTCAAAATGTAAATATATCTTTGTATCTTATATATTATTTTTCTTCTATATCAGTGTATTTTTAAAATACACAACTTGATAAAACTACAGTTTCTACGTGTAGTTTTCAAATTATAAAAACCTATACCCCAAAGGTAGTTTTATACCTATAATACAAAGCCACTGTTCTTTATGATTCAAAGAGGGAAAAAATTTTAATGAGTATAAAACAGTCTTACTGTGGAGTTTTTTTTTTTTTTGGACATTCAGCATACTAGGATTTAATCATCTGTCATCACAGTGAACAGTTTAAGCAGTGACCCCATGAATTAATATACTGTGTATCCACATCTTGGATTCCCACTGGTGCTATTTTTTTACTATGCTATCAACTAGAAATAAGAAGTATATGGTAAGAAGCTGGGCTCAAAAATATTATCCTAGTAAATTATCAAAATAACAAATATGTTTGGCTAAAAAGGTTTTTCCATTTCTTCCCTAACTTCAAAGGGATTTCATAGGTAATTAATAATTTTGCTTAAATAATGACTCTTCCATCAATAGGAAAGTACCTTGTAAAGTTTTGTTTGAAGGTTCCTCAACTAACAAGGAGTTTACAGTTTGCTTAAATTACCCTAAATGATTCAGAAGAAGCCTGTAGCTGCCATTTTTATCTTTTGCCAGAGGTTAAAATCTGAATCAGCAGCAGGATAACAGTTTTTGAAGATTTCCAGGCAAGTACTTATGTAGAGCACAAATTCAACCAAAAAAACTGTTTCTAATCCAGCTGCTCTTATTGATATATTAAAATTCATAATTTGATACCCTTGCAGAATAGTATGGGAGAGCTTACCCTTTCCTGTATGACCCCAAATCAAAGTGAAACTAGACCATTATTGTGTAAAAACAACAAAAGTTTTTAGTTTTATTAAGTAATCTGAATCCCTAATTAGGCATTAACTCCTTTTCTTGTGTTGTCTTTTTTATTTTGAATGTTAAGTTAGAAAAATACTTTAAACTGTACATTTAAAAATACTTTAAACTTTAATATATACTATGATGCCATTAACAAGTTTACTTAATTGTTCATTTTAGGTTTTTAGCTCAATTAATATTCAGTAAGTGTAGACACTGATAATTCATTAAAAAAAAAGCAAGGTTTCCATTTTTCCTGAAACTGCTAACTTTATACAAAATTGAAAATTCTAATGAAATGTAATCTTAAATGAAATAAGAAAAAGGTATCTCTCAGAAGCTAATTAAACAATTTAATTTTAAAGCTTTAAAAGTTTATGAGGTAATGTCACAAATTACATCCCATTTATTCCTCCCTAACCTTTACTTTTTAGAAACTACAGAAGGAGGGAAGGGGGAGGGGAAGACAATAAAAAGTGGCTTAAATCCAGTGCAGCAGAAAAATTCCTTATAGCCTCACTTTTCTTTTTTAAGAATACAAAACAAAGACACTATTCACTGCTCCCGTAGTGGGGATGCTTACTATGCATATCTTTATCACAACTAAGCCAGAGCCCAATAGATAGGAGGCGCCATAATTTTCACAACAAAATAAAATAAAGCTTACCTTTGTATGTGGTTCCTGTCTCTTATCAGGCAAAAACTGGAAATCTGGGGAATCATCTCCATAACTTTCTTGGTTGGCTCAGAAATATTGCTTTTAAAATCTGATTGGGTCTCTTTTTGCTGCAATAGCTCCTGTTTGGCATATTCTTTGAGCCTTTTGTAAAGAGTGCGTAGGCCCTGCGCTGTTCGAGGAGGGCGGTCTACTCCACTTGCATTATAGTTAACTGCTATGATATCCCAACATCTATTCTTTTCCACTATTACTGAATGTTTGTTAGTGTGTTCTTCCAGAATTTTAACATATGGCTTCACAAGCTTTAACAAATCAAGCTTTTCAGATAAGGTAAAATTGGAAGATCTAGCTTTTCCTACCATTGTTCTTTTCAAATTAAGTAGGCAGTTTCTGAAACCACCATGCAGCCTTCAGCTCTGCTCAGCTCTTTTCACAAACAGAAAAAGATCAGGCTTAACTAGGCTAGCCTCATTTAGGCCCACGCCTACAGGGGAGGGTTTATTAAAATTCCTCCAGCTTAAGCTGACGCAGGTTCAGGAAATCTGCTTAAGCCAAGCCTGACCTACATAAAGCTTCTCACTGAAGAAGACAGGAAGGCACAAGCAAAACACACTTGTGTATAAAGAGAACAGCTCGAGGTAGGATTTAATACACAAAGGTCTAGAGATAAGGATGGAACACAGCTAAAAATTAGCTAATTTAGGGAGAATATCGAATTCCAACACGTTTGCCTAACTGATAGATTGAAAATGCACTGCAGTATCACTTTAATAAAAACAAAAGAGGAACTGTTTTGTACTATTTGTTTACAAATCCAGTAGACAGAAAAATGAAAAACTAAAGATATGAGTGGTGAATGTAGTGATTCCTAACAGAGCCCCTAATCACTGTTTCTGAGCTGCTGTTCTCTCTTACAAAATCTGCATAATGCTGGTCCTGCTGTCAATCAGGAATTGCATATCCTCTAGCTAGTTAGGTTACACCCAGCTCAGACTCCACGGTAAAGCTAAGCTTCTCCTTCATTTTACAGTCTACAGTAAACACCGTGTTTTTTTTTTTTTTCAGTTACTTAAGAAGAAATTTTTGTTGAACACTAAATCTAAAAAGCAGATAAAAATTATGTTTTTAAAGCAATGCATTATTCCAGCTGTAACGTACATGAATATGCTAGCCCGCTTTAGCATGTGTAAAAAACACCATTCACAGTAAGAACAGCATAATAACACCTTAAGACTGCACACAACAAAATCGCATTTGCTATTATTAGAGTACGATCTTTATTTAGCCATTTTCACACAATTTGAGCTATGAAAGGAAACAGCTAGTCTAGTCATTTGCAAGGCCACCAATTTGCGTGTTTAGGATATATTTTCTAATCTCTGTCTGAAACATGATAAATAACAATGTAAACAAATAAGCCTATTTTCTCCTGATATACATGTTTCTCCAGATAGGAGAATGAATTAGAACATACTTGAACACAGTTCCATTCAATCAATTGCTGAACACCTGTAAAAATGTTCCCAAGCACTGAGAAAGGCCCAAAGAAAACAAAGGTAAATCTAGATACAGCCCCTATCCAAAGAACTATAGCTCTACAGAAATGCCATCAATTTTCAATTACTTTGTTTTTCATTCTTTCAATAGAAGAGAATTAAATTAAATTTGTTAAGTTCTCACTTTGAACCAGACAATGTGCTAGAATGTGTTATTTGTCAGGAAATGTGTTATTTGTCAGGAAAAAAAGTGAAAGATTGCTGGGTACACTATAGGATGCTAGGTGTTTTCTGGCATACTCTACTGGGTAATCTGATTTTTAGCAGTCCTAGCCTTTCACCGTCTTTGAGCAGTTTTATTGCTGAGTAAAGTTGTAGAAAATAGTAATGCAAATGATTCTTGCCCCTAGAGATGCAAACTGAAAATTGACCTGCTCCAACAACCTGACCACAGTTACTCAAAGGAAAGCAAGAACACAGTATATACACTGTCTTTAAACAATATTATTATTTTTGGAAGAAATACAGGCATTGTGTTAAGAAATGATGTGCTAATGGAAATGTGAAAAAACGTTCAATCTCACTATCAAGGAAATGTATACCAAAAATGATTTTCATCCATAAGACATCCATAAGGATGTGAAAAAACGTTCAATCTCACCATAAAGGAAATGTATACCAAAAACGATTTTCATCCATAAGACATCCATGAGGAAATGTGAAAAAACGTTCAATCTCACTATCAAGGAAATGTATACGAAAAATGATTTTCATCCACAAGACTGGCAAAATTCTTAAAGAATGAAAATGTCAGGAGTGGATGAGGGTGCAGGGCAGAGTACTCTTCTGTACCGTTCATGAGAGTGTGAAATGGCATTTGTGATGGCAATCTCAGAGTACATATTAATAGTTTACATGTGTAAAAACTTCTAAACTTGCAGTAATTTTACTTCTCAGAATCTACCTTGAAAAATACTCAAACACACAAGGAGCAGCAGAGCCTTCTTAGTAGTTGCATAGTATTGGAAGCAATCTAAGAGCACATCAGTTGGGGACAAGTTAAAGTCACTAAAGTATATCCATACTATGGTCTACTCTGGGCAGCACTAAAATGCAAAAGGTAGATTTCTGTGTATTGACACAGAACAAGCTCCAAAATATATGGTAAGTGAAAAAAGCAAGTAAAACAAAAATACATACAATTATAATCCCATTATGCTTACCCAAAACACCCAAAGCTAAATATTTCTGTAGGTACAGAAAATATATGTGTAGGTATAGAATGCAGGTCCATACATAGGTATGAAAATGTACTCCAAGAAGGTCTGGAACTCTTCTGCCTAATTACAGGAGCCATGACTTGCAGGTAGCTATGGAGCATTTTTCTTTTTTCTTTTTTTGGCCCCACTGGACCACCAGGGAAGTCCAGCTATTGAGCATTTTAAATGTGGTTAATGGGACTGAATTTTTTACTTTATTGAATTTTAATTAAACAAAATTTTTTACCTGAGGCAGCATATTTTTCCATTAAACACAACTTTATTGTTTGGGTAGGATTACATTTTACTTAACCCTTTTGTCACAAATGATACTATTGTTTCTAGTATTACGGACAAGAACTCCCTCCTGGACCAAACGTTAGTCAGGCTCCTCTGAGCCTTCTTCTCAACTAGGACTTTAGCAAGGATCCTGCTAAACCAGTTTATAGAGAATCCCCCTACCCTTGATACCTAACCAAATTCTTCATACTCCCACCGTTAATACCTAACCAAGTTCCTCTCAGTAATTTTCCACCCACTGACCCCCTTACCCTGCCTATTGGCTGTAAATCCCTGTTGTAGTAGCAGTTGAGTTCAGTCTCTCTCCCCTGTTGCAACAGTCTTTTTTTTTTTTTAAATAAATTATTTATTTATTTATTTTGGCTGCATTGGGTCTTTGTTGCTGCACATGGGCTTTTTTTACTTGCAGTGAACAGGGGCTACTCTTTGCTGTGGTGCGTGGGCTTCTCATTGCGGTGGCTTCTCTTGTTGCGGAGCAAGGGCTCTAGGCACGCGGGCTTCAGTATTTGTGGCATGCAGCCTCAGTAGCTGTGGCTCGCAGGCTCTAGAGCACAGGCTCAGGAGTTGTGGCGCACAAGCTTAGTTGCTCCACAACATGTGGGATCTTCCTGGAGCAGCGATCGAACCCATGTACCCTGCACTGGCAGGCGGATTCTTTTAATTTATTTATTTAATTTATTTATTTTTGGCTGCATTGGGTCTTCATTGCGGTGCATGGGCATCTCATTGCAGTGGTTTCTCTTGTTGCAGAGCACAGGCTCTAGGCGCATGGGCTTCAGTAGTAGTTGCAGCACATGGGCTCAGTAGTTGCAGCACACGGGCCCTAGAGCACACGCACTTCAGTAGTTGTGGCTCACGGGCTCTAGAGTGTAGGCTCAGTAGTTGTGGCGCATGGGCTTAGTTGCTCCACGGCATGTGGGATCTTCCCAGACCAGGGCTCCCCTGCATTGGCAGGCGGATTCTCAACTACTGTGCCACCAGGGAAGTCCACAGTAGTCTTGAATAAAGTCTTCTTGCCTGTTTAACTTGTCCGGTAGAATTTTTCTTGACATTACACATAATCACATCAGCAGTGTAGTCAATCTTAAATTGATTCTGTTTTTTTTTTGAAAGAATTAATTAATTCATTATTTAATTCATTATTCAAATATTCTGTCTAATAAGTACATAATACATACAAGAAGAATGTTTATTGTTAACTTCTGAAATCTATTTTACAAAGCACTTGACTAAGCTTTAGTTATCTGGAAATTTACTTTTGTGGAAACCTCATTTCATGAAAATGCTAGGTACATTGTGTTAGTGTACATAAATTCTGCTTGAATGAATTTTTTCTATGCACTGATATAACATTTAATGGATTTGTTTGAATATTTTATGCAGACAGCACAAATTATAGTGATACCCTGTATAAACTGTAATTGATTATTAATCTGAATTACTTATTCTGTCTTAATTATAATTAAATTATTTTTCTAGCTAAAAAAATAATGGGCAAACTTTTTAATATAAAAAAGTATACTACTGACGCAGAATCAAGTGCAGATGCAGAAGCTAGTACTCTTACTGGAATAATAAAGAAAAAAATGAGAGACCGAACTAAAGCATATTACATATTTCATACTGAATACCAAATGCAATTTGCTAAAGCAGAACAACAGGAATAAGCTGTTTAATGCATTTTAAAAAGGTAAAGAAAATAAAATAGACAACGTTAAGAGACACTGTCAACAGACACACAGTAAATTTGACAAGCAGTTTCCTCTCAACAAACAAGAACTGATGAAGTTTAGGCACCTCAAATCAGAATTAAATATCCAGAAATATTTTTAAATAATATGTAACAACGTCTGACCTTGTAACTTTGGCCAGCTATAAAATGGTTTGGTTTCTTGCACACACAAAAAAAGAAAACCATTGTTAGTAAAGAGATGGTAAAAATACATATATACTATTTCAGTTACGGAAATTTTGTCAGAAAATTATTGGGAAAGGATTTTAAACGATATTTTAAAAACGAAAGAGCTTCAATTAAGCAGCCAATAATTGCCTGTAGAATACAAGACCTAACATATCAAACATCAATTGATTCAATATTTTTTAAATTGCAAGTACTTCTCTTTAGATTTAAATGAGTTATACAATAAAAGTTATATAATAAAAGTTATACAATAAAAGAGATACTGCCCTATTAACACATGGGTCACATTTTATCTCAAAGGACTTCAAAATTTACAAAGGAATGTTATCAATTCATGACCAAATAGATATATGAACTCATAACACAGATATTTTTTAATCTATATCTGTCAAAGAATTTTAGCTAGACA